CATAACACATAATAAAACACAAAACAAACTAAAAACTCACGAAAGGACCTAAAATGGGGGAAAAATATTGATAAAACAATAACGAAAAATACAACAAAAATGGGACAAACAGATGGTGAAGTCATGTAGCCATACTTTATGTGGTCTCTCCTCAAATTTCGAGAGCTTGTACTTCACGGATTCTTCGCCGCCTACCTATTCGGCGATAGCCGGCCATTTTCTTGGCCAACTTTTGCATGCTCGATATCTCAAACAACATCAACCACGGCCCACTCGTGCCCTCCTTCGCCTTCTTCATGGCCATCGAAAACGTGCTCGGCTACGTCGCCGACTGCCACCACCGCCGCACATCACGACTTGCTTCTTTCTGGTCCTTGTTTTTTTGTACTCTTTCCATAAACTAGGATTCCACTCTTTTTTTGTTGTAAATGAAATTTCTAGGTTGTAGTCACGTCGATTGTTTCTTTCTGTACTATGCTCATCTTCAAAATTCTAACTTTTTCTGAAATTCTGATTGCAATGTCAATGATGAAACTCTCTAGTGAGTGAAAATGTTGACCTCATATGGGCCTTCAACATTCCTGTGTACTAGAATCTACATGGGCTTTCAACATTCCTGTGTACTAAAATGTAAGGGATGAAATACTACAACTAGGGTTTGAGTTTTAGCTATATATAATTTGAGGAAACTGGGGGCGAGCTTTCTTTAATTGGCTTTCAAGTAAATCATAGCACATAAAAGGCAACATCTTAAAGTTGAAAAATTGAAATCTGTCCTAAACAAGGGTTTTTAAAAAAAAAGCCTCACTAAATTCACTTATCGTCATGTTTTCAAGAATACAAAAACGATTTCAGCCCAGCTAATAAATTTGTCGTGATTTTGAAGGCGAGGTCGGCGGAAGAGACAAGGCCGAGGGTGGAGAGGGGCATGATGATGGCGAGCAAGCAGAGCTGCCGGAAATCGAGGAGGCTCCGGAGGGATGCCGATGATTCTGCGGTGAAGCAGCTGCTCGTCTTGTGTTCGAGCAACATGAGTTTAAGAATTTGATAGAAAAAAAGAAGAAGATGGAAGTTTATTTGAGGACCATGAAGATGGCAAATGAGAGCCTGAGTGAAGATGAAAGTTTATTTGATGGCCATGAAGATGAAGATGGAAGTTTAAGAATTTGACATAAAGAAAAAAAAAAAAGG